TTAACTTATCAGCTGTGCTTTACTCGCTGTTGTTGTGGACTGCTGATGTAAACTGCGTCCAAAATCTCGAATATAGTCTGCGGTTACCATCAAATTTTACGAGTTCTAGTTGGGGAAGCTTGCTCTTGCCAGATGATAACGGGTGAACGTTCGTAAGGAGTGGGGCTGGAGGAGCCAGACATTCATTCAGCTTGACTCGTAGATTCGCTGTGAGAGTAAACACCTTGTCGCGGTGTTCTCCACCGTCTAACGTCTCGCTGTCCAACAGGTCGTCTGGCGTCTCTTCAAAAATTGCCCCATCCACTTTCTCTATCTGACCATAAAATGAGCTTATTCGGTCGAGGAATACACTTACTGCTGCTGCGGTGACGGCTTGATTTCCTCACAAGTGGTTTTCTACCTCAGACAACAGAGCATCCAGTTGGGACCGCAGGCTGTGGCGTCCTCTCATATATCGTTCCATTCTGTTGTCCGCAGTCAATGTATCTCGCCAAGATCGCAGGCGCAGTCTTCCGAGGTGTTCTGGCTCCTAACGTTGATGATGTTGGCGCCGTCAAAGGTCCCGGGTTATTCGCACTATGTGTTGGACCTCTGAGTCTTACTGCTGTGGCGCAGCTCATATCGAGCAAAGAACACGTCTTGCCAGATGAAAAGCTTTAATGGAACTAAAGAAGAAAGAAAAGGACAAGGATGAGCCGACGCTGCCCATGAGGCCAAGCGTCAGCTCGTGAGGAGGCTCAATGATGATGATGACTGCTGTTCTGCTGCGTGGGATGAATAAAGGAAGTCACAACAAATGTGGTTCCAAGCAACAATGAGAAGATAACCAAGAATGCATGCTTCGCCCACGCTCGCTCATGCATCTAAATTAGCATATTGGTGTGTGTGGTGTGCACAGCATTCACGTATATGCAAAGGGGTCAATGGAATAACGGTATAAGGGAAGCACACCAGCACAAATATAGAATAGGTTTCCTGCTGCCAGGTTCTTCGTTGCACCTCCAGATGGCCCCACCTGTCATGATAGAGGCGTAAAAAAAAAAAATCGCCCCAATCTACATGTTACACAGTAAATGTCGTTGAAAGACGATAGTCGCATCTGGAGAGAGTGAACAAAATGTTTATTGGATGTTCTGCGCAAGAAAATAGGTGAATGGTTTTCTGAAGGCGCTGCGTTAGAGTGCATCGAACGTGTAACAGAGGTGACCAAGCGCATCTAGACGCGTTAGACACGAGCGCCATCTGGCAGTTATCTTCGAAAACGAAGGCGTGTGCGACCGCGGAGAAAGGTGCGTGCCTGTCATGGAGGTGATAAGGTGTAGAAAGGAAAGCGACGGGCAGGTGCCGCCACCCTGGCGTCGTAGCAATGCGTTGGAAACACCTTCTTGAGCATCGCGTTGCACTGTCAGCGCAGCGCGTTAAACGCTACAGTCCTTAGAGTTACTTTATTTATTTATTTATTTATTTACCCTCAGGGTCAACAGACATTACAAAGGGGAGTGGTAAAAACAACAAAACAAGTTTGTAAGTACAAGAGGCAATGCAATGTTTTTGGTTATACAGCAGCTGATTGAAACAAAACAAAAGAAAGAAAGGAGAAATATCAAAATGGCATATAAGAAAGTAAAAAGATACATTCTTATAAAAAAAGATAAAAATAATGTTTCTAAGTATACAATGAGCATTGTTACACTTCAGTGCAACAGGTACAACAAATACAACAGGTAACAGTGAAATCTTATCTTTAGAAATGTATAAGGTGAAATACTATGACCAGGTATTCAAAGAATTGGTTAATACAGTCACAAATGCGTCACGATCTGAAATTGTTACGAACGATTCGGGAAGGCAATTCCAATTGCGTGAAGTGCGTGGTACATATGATTGTCGAAATGACCCTGTTTGAGACGATGGGATGCCAACTTTATGATCGTGATCTAAACGACGAGAAACGTAATGCGGTGGAAGGATTAGTAAATCACGGAAGTATGAGTGGTGATATATTTTATGGAAAAGGGTTAAGCAGATCGTAGTATGACAAAAAGCAAGTGAAGGTAATTTAAGGGTAGATTTCATTAGTGTGATGCTCGTGTTTCGATCGTAATTAGCTGTTATAAAGCGAACGGAGTTATTTTATACCATTTCTAATGAATGCGCCAAATTATGATGGTATGAATCCCAAACAGATGCGTCATATTCAAGTTTAGTACGAACTAGTGTTTTATACAACATCAGCTTGACAGAAGAAGGTGATTTGATGAAGTTACGATGAAGATATCCGAGCATGCGATTAGCATTACAAACAACATAGTTAATATGAGTATTCCATGTTAGATTGTTACTGATATGAAGTCCGAGGTACTTGTATAAGATGACACTGTCTAATTGTGTGTTATGTAAGTTATAAGTAGGTAAAGTGGTGATCTTTCTTGACACACGCATGAATTGACATTTTTTACTGTTTAATTCCATGAGCCATGTGTTACACCAGTTAAGGACAGCAGTGAGGTCAGATTGAAGAAGGGCGACGTCGTTATGCCCAGTTATTTCATGAAAAATTACGTAATCATCGGCAAAAAGATGAACAGATGAGGTGACGCAAGATGGTAGATCGTTAATATAGATTAGAAAAAGAAGCGGACCAAGAACGGAGCCCTGTGATATACCAGAATGTATCGCACATTCCGCAGAATTATTTCCATTAGCCGAAACGAATTGTCAGCGGTTAGTAAGAAAACTTTCAATCCAAGTTACAAGGCATGGGTCAAGGTTAAGTAGTCGTAATTTAAAAATGAGCAGTTTGTGGCACACCTTGTCGAAAGCTTTGGAAAAATCGAGAAAAATGCAGTCGGCGAGCAAGCTCTTGTCAAGAATGGTGTTTAGTTTATGCACGAAAAGTGTTAATTGAGCTTTGCAAAAGTATGATTTGCAAAATCCATGTTGCAATTGAGTGAAAAATGAGTGTGACTGTAAAAAATTTGCTAGGTGAGAAGCCAAAATGTGTTCTAATATTTTACATGGCATACTAGTGAGAGAAATGAGTCTGTAGTTTAAGGGAGAACGCTTGTTACCCGATTTGTGGATCGGAACTACCTTCCCGACTTACCACTCAGATGGGAGAACATTGTCGTTGAGCGACTGATGAAAAATTTTGGTTAGTATTATGGATGAATAACAGACAGTATTTTGGAGGAATTTGACGTTTATTTGATCGCTACCCGGTGTTGAGGATGGTTTCAGTGACTTAATAATGCTTGCGACACCATCGTAGCTGAGAATGACAGGAAACATATGACCGTGCTGATATGGTTGGAGCGTTGGTGGTGGTGGGTAAAGAAAAATTTTTTGAAACATCATCAAGCATGTTCGAGCATTGGTCGGTCGGTATAGCGTTACCGCTAAGATCATTAAGTACTATAAGATCACTTTCTTGAGCATTGATCACCCGCCAAAATTTTTCAGGGTTAGTCTTCAACATCGTAGGTAAGGTGTTGCTTAGAAAACAATCTTTGTGACAACTTTTAAGGCCTGCGCGAATTCATCAGCGCACTTTTCGTAATCTGACCAACAAGCCCTACCATTGATAACTTTAGCCGATTCGAAGAGACACTTCTTTTTATTAGACAAGCGTTTAAGCTGGTGATTATACCATGGTTTTTTTAGGTTGGAGGAGATAGCGTAAGCAGGGATATACTTATCTGTTAGTTCCACAACCTTAGCAAGAAAGATACTCCAGTTTGACTGAACGTCGCGATAGTCGAAATCATTCAAGAAATCATCAAGAAATACAGCAAGTTAATTGTTGATGGTAAGAAAGGCGGCCTTGTTGTAATCTCGTAGTGTCTTATTTGTTTTAACGGCTTTAGATTGCACAAAGCAAATGTTAAACGAGAGAAGGCTATGATCACTTATTCCAGGCAGGTAAGTTACATCAGAAACAAGATCGGGTTGCGTGGTCAATACAAGATCGAGTGTACTTGAAACGAATGGTGTTATCCTTGTTGGTTGTTTAATCAACTGTGCTAGAGAAAATGTACTGCACAGCTCTAAGAAGTCTTGCGCCATAGATGAGTTTGGGTACACTGTGACGGGTTCATTTTTCCATAAGATATTAGGCATATTGAAATCACCAAGTAGGAAAATTGGCCGTGTGGTGTAGTAGAAAAAAACACTATTAATTGCATCATGTAAATCACACACAAACGCTGTAGTGAAACTTGGGGGGCGATAACAAACACCCAAAATTATTTTTTGGTGGACTAGTGTTACGACTGCCCATACAATCTCCAAATTTGAAGCAGTTTGAATGTAGTCTGAAGGCAACCTTCTATTTATCGCCAAAAGCATGCCACCACCAGAACGATTATTGCGGTCACAGCGATAAATAGGGAAATCGCGCGAGTTGGCAAATAATTCATGGTCTCCGATTGCTGGTTGAAGCCACGTTTCTGTCAATGCGATTATATCCGGTTCGCATGTATCAATGGCCGAATCCAATAAAGGTCGTTTGTTGATAATGCTTCTGATGTAAGTAAAACTTGTGTGTGCCTCTTCTAGTATAAAGGCAGACATAGAAAACATCGAAGCGTTGTTGTGGTGCCTCAGATATGGGAAATAATTGCTTTTCAATTAATAATCGCACAACTACGAACGCTAAACCTTGAGCAATATTGGTGGGCGCTGCGGATGGGGTTGGCCGTTTGGTGCCGTTTGAGGTATCCTTAGAGCGGACAAACAGACAAATGTAGAGACAGACAGACCAAAATTTTTCCGTCAAAGGTCCCCAAGGAAGACCATCGTCTATAAAAAACAAATAAGTGGTCACCGTGCAGGGGCAATGAGGAGGAAACTGAAGTTTGTGCGCGGGCGACGCGTGCCACGGTGCGCGTGCAGATAGTACAGCAGTCAATGACAGACGGTTCTCGGCTGGACATCCGGTCCGGTGAACCAAGCGACGCCATCCAGGTGCTACCGTTCCTGTACTCCGGCTAGAGACTTGCCCAGGAACCAGGCGAGGCGCAGGGTTTCCGCCTGGCGTTCCTGACTGCTGCAGGGCAACCACGACAAGTAAGGCCTGCCTTCCGGCTGGGCAGCTGGCCCAGGCATCTTGCGAGCTGCCCTCGTTTTCGCTGTCGTGCACGGTGATTGATCGTATAACGTGGGTGGTGCTGCTGAGGTTGTTCAGAGTCGCTGAGATGACCCAGGTGTGACCGAAACGAACGTGGAGGCCGAGCTACCGAGCTGCTGCAGCAGAGATCTGTGCCTTGGCGAGGGCTGGCACGCTTTAGCGACGTCAACAAGCCACACAGGAGATCGTCTTTGAGCGGCAAGCATCGACGTCCTTCAACGGCGTCAAACACGGCGAAACCCTTCTGAATTCAAAATACAAATTAGCGCAGTTACGACTGCATATACCAGAGCACCTCCCACATTATTCACTATTAGATCATCTTTTTATGTAATATATGTCTGTGTGTGTGTGTGTGCACTCGTGGCTCGACTCAGTTCCTTAGTGCGTGGTCCTGGGCCCAAACCTTGATGTTACATCACAATCTGGCGAGCCTGCCAGGATTCCACCCGTGAAGACATCAAACAAAATTATCGTTTCTCGAGTGCGCCCTCACAACAGTTGGTCCGATCATAAAAACTGATAAGATAACCGCTGTTAGATTACAACTAGGGTTGTCACGTGTAGAACGGTGTAAATGGGTTGAAGCCGAACAGACGAGGCACAGGGATGAACGCTTTGATGAGCCACAGGCGAGCAAAGGAAGCAGATGAGAGAGCGATGTAAATCCTCAAGCTGAAGCTAAAGCTTCAAGTAGAAACTCTGAAAGTAGACGCAACAGTGAACTCTAATTCTGTGGCTCCGCCAGATCGCTCCTCTTCAGTGCTGAATCCACGAAAATTGCTTCCATAGTTTGATGAGCGACAGAATGATTTGCATGCCTACTTGCAAAGATGTGAACGCGTAGCAACAGGAAAAAGCTGGTTACAAGAGAAATGGGCATTAGCGGTGAGCATGCGTTTGAGTGGCAAATCGTTGACAGTGATTGGCTGAATACTGCCACAGATTGTCTAGACTATGACAAAGTGAAGAGAGCCTTGTTGCAGCGGTTTCAATTCACTGCACAAGGACACCAAGAGAAATTTCGCAAGGCACGAGCGGAAGATGGGGAAACCAGCATACAGTTAGCTGCGAGACTCTCGGGGTACTTTGACCATTGAATTGACATGGCCGATGTGCCTAGGACGTTCGATGGCCTTCAAGACCACATGCTCGCTGAACAGTTTCTCCATTGTTGTCATCTAAAGCTCTTGATATTATTTGAAAGAACGCGAGTGCAAGTCACTCCAACAGCTAGTCGACGCTACTGATCGCTTCATGGAAGCACAAAACATATCAAACCTCGGAAAAGGTCGCGATGACTGAAGAGATTTCAAGGGTCTTGACAATGTTCCAAAGAAACCACTGCCAAAGTGTATTCCATTGCAAGCCTCTGGGACATCAAGCACATGAGTGGCACACTTTAGCTAAACAGGCGATGAAATGTAAGGTTTGTGGGAAAATAGGCCACAAAAGCGACGAGTGTTAGAGCACGAAAGCACAAAAAGAAAAAAAGCTCTGTGTGTGTACTGAACCAAAAGCGTCCCAGTTTTCTTTCAAGTGGACATACTGGAGGGGGAAAAAAGGAAAGAAACGGAATCATCATAATGAAAGTTCGGAGGAAATGAAATTCCTATTTTTTGTGCAGGGAATGCCAGTAGATGAAGATGAAGTTTTGGGCAAGCTAGTCAAAGTGCTTCGAGATACAGGCAGTAACACTGCAATTATAAGGAGAGATCTGATGTGGAATGAACATTTGACCGGAAAGAGTAGCAAAGTTTTGCTCATTTATGGTTCCTGCTATCAAAGTACCAGAGGCCAAAGTTCCTGTGAGCACTCCATACTTCATAGGAGAGATAATAGCACCTTGTGTGATCAAGCATCTATATGATTTGGTGCTTGATAACCTGCCAGGTGTCAGAGAACCCTCACAATCCGGATCATCAGTGGAAGCCAGTTGCAGCTGACCAGAGACCTAAGGCGATGCAATATTGCCCTGTGGGAGTTATTGAGCATCCCCAATACGTTAAAACCACGCAAAGACAAAATGAATTCATTGGCTGTTTCGAAGACCAAATGGTGTGACGTAACAAAAGACCAGTTCTTCAAAGAACAGCAGACGGGCAAAACATTGAAGGCTGTGTTCGCTAAAGTTGGTAAAGACTTCCAAGTCACCAAAAGGCCACAGTTATAGGTTTCTAGGGAGAGGTGGACTGTTTTACCGATAATACTGTCTTGCGACTGGCAGAGCCTTAAACCAACTCGTCATACCAAAGAATTTTAAAGGGCATATCCTGGATGTCGGCCAGAGAGCCTCATGGCAGGGCCCCAAGGCATTCGGCGCACAACAGATTGAATTGTAGCTTACTTTTACTGGACAGATCTGTATGGCGATGTGAAAAGGATTCTTCAAGTCATGCGACAAATGTCAACAAACGACATTAAAAGGCCGAATTAGGTGTCCCGCCCCTGGGCAACATACCTGTTATGTGTTGCGGTCGATTTAATCGGCTCGTTCTCACGGAAGTCGGATCGTGGCAAACGCTACATTCTAACGCTCATTGACTTTGCCACCCGATATGCGGATGTCATTGCACTTCCCGCAATTGACGCTGTGCATGTTGCAGAAGAACTAATTCAGATTTTCTCTCGAGTTAAGTTACCGAAGAAAATCGTAAGCGACCAAGGGACAAGTTTTACAGCGGAACTCATGGGAGAAGTGGGCCGTCTTCTAGCCATCAAGTTTCTTCGAATGACCCCCTACCATGCCATGGATAATGGGCTCGTAGAAAAGTGTAATGAAACACGCAAAACAATGTTGAAGAGGATGTGCCAGGAAAAACCCAATTCTGGAACAGATATCTTGACCCACTCCTTTTTCCTTACAGAGAGGTGCCGCAAGTGAGCTTGGGCTTCGTCTTTTCAGCTCATTTGTGGTTGTCACGTGCGAGGACCTTTGACGGTATCACTGATTTGAAATCTGGGGTGCAGCTGCAGCTTTTGCAATGCAGAGGCGAGTTTCCACCTCTGCCTGTGGGGAGAATATAGCGGTGTTCATGCAGCTTGTCATTCAGGCACCAGCGCGGCTAGTCGATATAGACACAGCCAAATGACAAAGGAATTCGGTATACTACCCAAACAGCACATTTCCTGAAGATATTAGTGTACTTCTTTCCACAAATGTTTCTCAAATCATTTTTTTTTCTTTTGCATAGCTATGCGCTTGCAGAGCCTGGAGAGCTTGCACGATGTAGACATCACGAGCCTGATGCCAGTCTTTGTGGCCACCCTCTTGGGGCTGTGTGATATTCCAAGCAATTATGACATCACCTCTGTGTTACATGTTTTTGGTACACCGCCTGTCGGGTCGTCTATATTCTAACTTTTCTTCCTTACAGCTTCTTAAAAGATGATTCTGCCACAGAAAGCAGCACGAATTCTGGGTAGCCTGCAGACTGTAGCCTGGCTACTTGCTCCTGGAGACTAAAGTGGATTGAATGCACACTACGCTTTTTTAAAGAATTCACAAGACTCAAAGAAACAATACCTCTTTTGACCAGCTTCAAGTGGCGTGATTTGAATGGGAGTAATGCTTTTTTTGTCCTTGTGAGGACTACTAACAGGCATGACCATCCGCTTCAAAATCTATCACTAGGTCAAGAAAGCGAAATGAGTTATTTTGCAAAGTTCGTTAGTGAACCTTAAAGAGTACTGACAAAAAATTTGCAGCCGAGATATCTTGCAGGATCAATTCTTCTCAACATTAGTATATCATCTGCGAAATATCAACAGCGAATATAGCTTGGAAGGTATTTCAAGATAATCTCAAAATTTGTGTGAGAATCGTGCCATCGACACCCTCGAAGAAGACCCTTTGGGCACTCCCTACTTCCTAGCGTCACCACGCTGCTGTCACTAAAACAAGTTATGATAACGTCACAGCTACCATATTTCTTTCGGCGCGTTTGTTCCCACAGTCTATACTTCTCGGCGGCTGGTCGCAAAGACTTATTTTACAGACTCTAGAGAAAAAGCTCGGCCGGAAAAGTCATAACCACCAAAGTGCTCACATCTTGAAACGTTGTCATTGTTGCTATAAAATACTTGAAAGAAGCGTTAAATGTATAATCTAAAACGCTCAAATTCTAGCAGTATATATCATAAACAAGTGTGTTCCTGTATTATAAACAAATCAAAAAAGTTTATGTTTACATCAACTACTTTTAAAAAAGGTACAATGGTCATTTATGTAACTTACTGATTGCAGAAAAAAGCATTTTCAGTTTTATTTACTAGTTGGCGCCACTATGCTATTGTATCACTATTGTATCAACACTTGGGAGCGGGTCCATAGGTGTGCGGCCAATTCTGCCGGCTTGCTTGTGCCTTGTCCATGTATTTTGTTGCCATAAGCCAACAACGACTTTATGTGAAAGCCTCTAACTGTGGCACAACAAAGGTCCTCGAAACGGAAAAAAATGCCAGGAGTTATTGCAGCATTTAGTAGCGAGCGTGAGCGTACATCACCTGAAAGCTGAGTATTGTTCCATCATGGTGGCACACAAGTGGTTATAGGTTTTAATGCATGGGCCCTATGGGCAGCTTTTTCTCTACAGTCTGTATATTAACTCTATAACTGGTCGCAAGTGCATGGCCGAGGTGCACGCTTTGAAACTTTTGTGTTTGGGGATACCACAGTCTGGTTTCCTATTCGAAAGTGATTTTTGATGCGAACAATGTGGAAGTGTGTCAAAGTTCTGTGTTATGACATGGTCGAGAGCTGCACAGACTAGGTGGCGATAGTTACACCCGGCAGCTACTCGTTCTTGGAGCTCTCTCAAATGGAAACTGAAACTAGTCAATAATGAGGAGTCTGTAATCAATTATCTGTCACATGCTGCAGCAAACGATGTGTCGAGTAATGACTGACTGGCCCCCAGCACCACAATGCCGCGGAAAAACGGGAAGCCAAAGTTTTTGTGCCAGTACCCCTAGTGGCGGTGCTATTACCCCCTGTAGAGTCCTTTTCACCTCGTGGCACACACGTATTCCACAGATAAGCCGCGTCTAAAGATGACAGCCACTGAGCAGTAGGTGGCGCAGCGCTCACACTTGATATTCACCACTGTAAGGTCTGGCGTTGCACGCCATGGGAGCGAGTCTTCTCTGTCTCAAAAGGGCGCGCTTCCCAAAAAGCCTATTCTCGCGAGACGATAATCTCGGCGTAAGCGCACCCCTTCTGCCAAGAATACCGCGGTCAATCACCGCTTCTAGCAACCAGCTAAATGGTGCCCAGAATGCGGATTGCCGGCGGGTGACGGGTGGACAGTGCATAGCCACCCATCCGTCAAGAGTAGAGTCCGCGGGACGGCTGTCATGCTGGACAGCGTAGTCATCTCGCGATAATGCAGGAGGCCCGCAGCCGAACGGCGCCACCATTGTGTGCGTTCGCACAGTTCGCGGAACGTTGTGTGCAGGCTGGTCCGTTCGTCTCTCTCTTTCCGACCGAGCAGTCGAGTGCGGGAAGAAGAGAGCGAGAGGAGGGGACGGCAACAAGTGTGTTGTCTGTCCAATAAACGGACTAAATTGCTTTGGTTGGCCGTGAGGAGAATCGGGAGGGGCAACCGAGGTATTAAAACCTGGCTTCCGAGTCCTCGCGGCGGTTCTGGTCGCAGCAAAGAGTGCTCTGCACTATCGGCTCTGCCGAGGCAACATGCGACGGTTCCGACGGTCAAGTCTTGTAAATATGTACATAAGTTTCTGTATATAAAGTCGAGTTGTTGTAACGTTTGAAATGTGCTGGCCTCCATCCCCGAACAAGCAGCAGCAGCCACGACAAAACAGGACGGACACCGAGAAGCAACCAACCTTCCACTCCCTTCTGTAGCAACAGCCGCTACGCAGCTCGGAGAGCTCTGCTCAAGGGAACAGAGGAAGTGGGTAGAAGGTTGAGTTTTACTGGCGCAGTCGACAGGATCGAGACGACGACGACAAGGAGCGCTCGGCGCAACAAGAAGATCGTCGTGTTGCGGAGAACACGCAAGACCGAAAGCCAAAACATTGGCTGTTCCAACGAAGAGCCAAGCGACCGAGCTGAGGAGGCGGCAGTGTGGCAGCCATCGACCCGAGGAAGCCAGGGGTCCAGCTACGGTCATCCCGATTCATCAGTCCGGCGACAACCCCGGCGACATCGAGCAACCAGCGAGCAGAAACTTCAAAAGTGGTGAGTCCTCTGGTGTTCTTACATCTCAGGGGTGCCGCTGTTTTTTTTTTTTTGAGTTTTAAGGCGTCCTATGGACACGAGGTTTGCCCACTTAAACCTGGACAGGCGAGCGCAGGCCATGAGTCGTGAGTCGGGGGACAAGAGCGACGTGGGAAACCCGGGAGAGGGTAGTGCGCGGGAGGGCCAGAAAGATGAGCGTTTCGGAAATCTCACGCCGGAGCGTAGACTGCAGGAATTGCGGTTGGAGATGGAGAGGCTGTCGCAGATGATGGGTGGAAGCTCTCGGTGGAGTGGACCCGAGTTCGGCAGGCGGGATCCGTGTAGCGAACTGAGACGCTACTCAAAAGTCCTCACAGGGGTGTTACCCAAATTTCCAGCCGAGGCTGAAGCACCGGTGTGGTTTGAGTCTGTGGAAAGTGCCCTAGAAGCGTACGAGGTACTGGGGGAGTTTTGGGGACGGTTAGTTTTCCCGTTGGTAGCGGAGAGAGTCCCGTTTTTGTCCACACGGCTAAGCCCAACAGAGCACAAAGATTACCAGGTAATCAAGCAAACGGTGCTGGACAAGCTCAGACTTTCAGCCGGGGAATATCTAAAAAGATTTTTAGGGTCAGTAAAGCGTGCGAACGAGGGGTGGAGAGCTTTTTCGACACGTTTAGAGAGCTACCTCCACTTTTACCTTGATGCAAGAGGGGTGTCGACATTCGAGGGCCTGGTCAAGCTTTTGGTGGCCGACCAATTAAAGAAAAATTTGTCGGAGGAGGCCTTGCGATATGTGACACTCCAAGAAGGTAGAACGTGGATGAGCCCCCCAGAGATATCCGCATTGCTGCGAACGTTTGAAGAAGCACAGGGGACGAACAGCGCCGCGAGACAGGCGAAGCAAAGCGTGGCGGAGTCGAAAAGCGCGAGCAGGGCTACATCCGACGAAGAGACAACTGAAGGGCCGCGAGGCTGGGAAAAGCCGTATCGTGGAGGGGAAACCAAAGCCCAGGGCCTGCTACAGTTGCGGCAGTACAGGGCACCAGAAATAGAATTGCCCGCAGCGTCAGAAACAGCCGACGGAGGTGCTTCCAAACAGTAAAGAAGACAGCTTAGCGGCGCGTGTTTCGATTGAAGGTCCCCCAGCCGCACACAGTGATTTAATCCCAGTATTGCTCGACTGCAAAGGCAAACATATAGGAGCAGTGTTGGACACAGGTGCGGAAATTACAGTAGTCCGTGAGAGCGTGGTCCCGCCAGAGTTGGTGCAACCGCATGGGATGGTCAACCTGACTTCGGCGTTCGGGGAGAAAGTACAGGCCAAGCTTGCAGTTATTCCACTATGTCGCGTGAGCGTGGAGTTTTTTCCGACGTTAGGGAACCAGTCCCAGTGTTGTGCGCGTTAACGGACCGTCTAACGGCACGAACCGATTGCCTACTTTCCGAAGAAGCATGGAAACTACTACACGAGGAGAGCACCCTCGAAGGGGTAGTGGAAGGTACATCAGAAGTGGGCGGCGCTCAGCCAGAGTTCGAAAGCGAGCCTCAGCACGCCGAAGCCATATGGCGTCAAGATGAAGTGGACACTCGTGTAAAATGCGTAGAGCGACACGCGACCGAGGAGGTGTTGATCAGCGAGGTAGCTGTAGCAAGCCGCGATGAAGGGGATCAGCGGGATGACAGCGTGTTGCATAACGAAGCCCCGAGCGTCAGCATGAAGGAGAGGTCCGCGTCAGACGAATTTCGCGAGAAACAACGGGGAGACCTGACTTTACAGGAAGCGTGGAGAGGAGCGGCGACAGGAAAAGGCGGTATGCTAGTAATCGACGGGTTATTTTATCATAAGGATAAGGTGTTGGGGCAATCGGTAACGCAGCTGGTACTGCCAGAATGCCGCAGAGGGGAATTTTTGCGACTGGCGCACGAGTCAAGCTGGGCCGGGCATTTTGGTTGCCGTAAAACATGCTCTAGGATCAAATACAGTTTTATTGGCCAGGCGTAGGAGACGATATACGACGGCACTGCAACAGTTGTCATGGTTGCCAGGCGAGGGCAGACTGGCGTCGCGGGGACAGCGTCCCGATCGAACCCCTTACGAGACCAAGATATCCGTTTCAGCAGGTTAACGTGGACGTTATTGGGCCGCTGGAGCCAGTATCAGGCCGGGGCCATAAGTACTGTTTATGCGTCATCGACTTATGCACGCGCTGGCCCGAGGTGGTGTGTTTGCGCTCATTAAGCGCTAGGGCAACCTGCGATGCACTACTGGCAGTATTTAGCAGAACAGGCATACCCGAGGTTATAGCGTCCGACTGCGGCACTAACTTTACAGCGGCACTGACAAGAGAGTTTTTGTCGAAACTTGGTTGCTCCCCTCGATTTTCCACGGTGGGGCACCCTGAGAGCAATGGGGCGGTCGAGCGATGGAACAGGACCTTTAAGAACATGCTATACCACATAATAGAGAAGGAGGGAAGGAATTGGGATCAATTTGTGCCTTTCTTGCTGTGGGGGTACAGGAAGTCCCACACGATACGACCGGAGTAGCGCCTTTTGAGATGCTGTATGGGAGGCAACCAACGGGTCCGTTGAGTATACTCAAGAGGGCTTGGACGGGGGAAACTGCAGTTCCGGGAGAGTTGGGGGTGTCGCCAGCGACGTACATGGAAGAATTACGAGGGCGGCTCAGGCGCGCGACGCAGGTTGCGGAAATGGTCAGCTCGAAATCGCAAAACACTTACGCTGCGAAATTCAACAAAAGGAGGAAGGCAAAAGAGTTTAACGTCGGTGATTTGATACTGGTGTTTGATGATCAACGACCAGGGAAAATGTTTCCAAAATGGGAAGGGCCAGGCAGTGTCACCGAGAGATACCACGAGCATTCATACTTCGTGCAGATGCCAGCAGGTAACCGGAAACTGGTGCACGCGAATAAGCTGCGCCCAGATCAGTCCAGGGTTATGTCGGTAGGAGTAATGTTCAAGGAGGACGGTGATTTCGGTGAAGTAGAGTGCGCCCCACAGCCAGGGGCAATGCGTAGTGAAGAAGTTTTTCCGCCGCGCGATATGGTAGCCCATTTAGTAGAACGGGAACGCGGGGTGATCTGCGAAGTGTTCAAGAGGCATGTGGAGCAGTTTGGCCGGGGGCCGACGGTAGCGGCAGTAAGGCCACACGAGATAAGGTTGCAAGATGGGTTTGTCCGCAGAAGCCCGCATCCGTACAGGGTACCCAAAAGCTTACAGGCCGAGGTGGGGAGGCAGGTAGACGAGCTGCTCGAATTGGGGTTGATCTTTCTGTGCGAGAGCCCGTATGCCCATCCGCTGGTATGCGTTCCGAAGAAAGACGGCAGCATGCGACTGTGTGTCGATTTTCGGGCATTAAACGCGGGGATGATGGCGGACGCATACCCAATGGCCCTTCAGCAAGAACTCATAATGAGCGTAGAAAAAGCGAAGTACATAACGCTGCTCGACCTGCGAAGAGGTTATTGGCAGGTACCACTCAAGTCTTCTTCGCGCCTGCTGACAGAGCACGCGGAACACCTGGGGCAGGTGTTTGAGACCCTAAAGCGGGTTAACCTGAAGGTCAAGAGGGATAAGTGCCAGATAGCTCGTCCATCGATACGGTATTTGGGACATGTGGTAGGCTCGGGACGGCATGCACCTGACCTTGAGAAGCTTGCAGCGATCAAAGGTTTAAAGGCGCCGGAGACTAAAAGATAACTACGCAGCGTACTGGGCCTGTGTGGCTACTACCGAAGCTATGTCAAAGATTACGCAGAGGTAGTGAGGCCCCTGACAGAGCTAACGGGGAAGCGAATCCCGAACCAAATTCCGTGGTCCGCGGAAGCTGAAAGGGCGTTTTAGCGGCTTAAGATCGCACTGTGTGAGGCAGCAGCATTATCGACCCCAGATCCCGAGAGGCCGTATTGGCTGTTTACAGACGCGTCCGCGGTCGCGGCTGGAGTCTGTCTGTTGCAACGTGCGGACGATGGTACCGAGATGCCGATCGCATTTGCGAGCCACAAGTTCTCTCCAACTCAAACGCGCTGGTCGACTATTGAGCGAGAGGCCTTTGCAGTCATCTGGGGTCTGAAAAGGTTTGATTTCTGGCTCTTCGGCGCACAGGTTACCGTGGTGTCAGACCACAACCCACTAGCTTTTCTCACCCAGGACACTCTTCCTGGGGCTAAGCTTACACGTTGGGCCTTGGCGCTTCAGCGGTATCATGTAGTGGTGCAGCACAGGAAAGGCGTCGAGCATGGCAACGCAGATGTGCTTTCGAGGGTGCCTAATGAGTGCTGGGGAATCGGCAGCGGTGCTCTGGGGGTCGAGACACTAGAGGACTAGGCAAGTGCTGGACACTCAAGAGTGACATGCGCGAACCTGTGGACAATTGAACAGCACCACGCGTTGAAAGGTCTATGTGCCTCAGTGAAGTGTATTGTTTCTCTTGTGCGTGTGTGTAGCATGCAGGAGTTATTGGTATTTTGGTTGAATTTGAACGGCACCATGTGCCGAAGGGTGTGTGTGTGTTTCAGTGAAGTATTTTTTTTGTGTGTATATGTACGACTGTAAGCATGTAGAAGTTTGTTGTTGTTTTACTTGCCTGCTTTATAGATTGTACTTGTGTGCACAGTGACCTCGTGTCGGTTTTTTTTTTCTTTTTTTTTTTTTTGCTATGTGGTGGCGTCCGTTTGGTGGGGCCCCAAGGGTTAAGCAGAGAAAATATTGCACGCGTTGCAGAAATGCCTCTGACGTTCAAGGAACGGCGAAGTATGGCCACAGGGTTGGGGACGTGCGGTGCCATACTTTATGTTGTTATTCGTGCAGCTGCATTTGAGCGCTTGCGCGAATCTTGGAAAAGGCGTGTAAGGTCTGGCGTCGCAGGCCATGGGAACGAGTCTTCTCGGTCTCAAAAGGGCGCGCTTCCCAAAAAGCCTATTCTCAGGAGACGATAATCTCGGCGTAAGCGGCCCCTTCTGGCAAGAATACCGCGGTCAATCACCGCTTCTAGCAACCAGCTAAATGGTCCCCGGAATGCGGATTGCCGGCGGGTGACGGGTGGACAGTGCATAGTCACCCATCCGTCAGGAGTAGAGTCCGCGGGACGGCTGTCATGCTGGACAGCGTAGTCATCTCGCGGTAATGCAGGAGGCCCGCAGCCGAACGGCGCCACCATTGTGTGCGTTCGCACAGTTCGCGGAACGTTGTGTGCAGGCCGGTCCGTTCGTCTCTCTCTTTCCGACCGAGCAGTCGAGTGCGGGAAGAAGAGAGCGAGAGGAGGGGACGGCAACAAGTGTGTTGTCTGTCCAATAAACGAACTAAATTGCTTTGGTTGGCCGTGAGGAGAATCGGGAGGGGCAACTGAGGTATTAAAACCTGGCTTCCGAGTCCTCGCGGCGGTTCTGGTCGCAGCAAAGAGTGCTCTGCACTATCGGCTCTGCCGAGGCAACATGCGACGGTTCCGACGGTCAAGTCTTGTAAATATGTACATAAGTTTCTGTATATAAAGTCGAGTTGTTGTAACGTTTGAAATGTGCTGGCCTCCATCCCCGAACAAGCAGCAGCAGCCACGACAAAACAGGACGGACACCGAGAAGCAACCAACCTTCCACTCCCTTCTGTAGCAACAGCCGCTACGCAGCTGGGAGAGCTCTGCTCAAGGGAACAGAGGGAGTGGGTAGAAGGTTGAGTTTTACTACCACCATCATCATCACTATGGTTTGCGCAGTAGCACCAGCAGTGATGCCTGACTGCGAGGTTAGGTGGGTGGAAACAACAGACTGGCGGTTCTCTCTTGGGGTGGACGGCAGTGTGGGTCATATGCCGTGAATTCTCATGGTGAGTCGAGCATTGACGACGCTGCTTTCGAGCTACCTTGTTTGTGTTTGTTATGTTATTGAGTGTTCTGAAATATTGTGTAAGGTTGAGCGTGTTGATCCCAAATAATGTATTTAGATTTGGCTGACGATATCGTCATTGTAGAGGTAATTGAATAAATGTGTTTGGTTTGAGTCCGATCGTGCCTGATGTCTTCGTGCGCTCTGAGAGCATGTCACATTACGAGATCCCACACCCTTTAAGTCTTGAGAACACGCAG